TCGGCTGTGCGACATGCGTGGGCCTGGCGCCGGGAACAGCGCGCGCGCGCTCCTGCAGCGCGCGCGGCGCCCGGGTTCCCTGCAGGGCGGCGCGCGCCCCGCCGCAGCACGTGCGCGAAGCGGGGCCGCAGGCCCAGGCGCTCTCTCAAAGCCACGTGCCCGCTTGCCCAGAGCCTGCAGGGAAGCCCCCTGCCAGCTACCCCGGGGGCTGGAGTCCACCTCAAAGTCTAAGGCTTGGGGATTTAAACCATGCTGGAGCTGGGGCCAATCAGTGTCCTAATGCTTCCCTTGTGGTGCCTGCAGGGGTGGGGCCGTGACTGCCCAGGGCAGATTTGAACCTGGGATGTCTGGAGCTTAGCTAGGAGCCTCTATAGCTCGAGCTAGAAAGGCAGCTGGTTTTCCTGTTCTTGCCTGTTGCTGTAAGTGGTCCAAGTGCCACTACATGGGCCAGCAAACCCCAGTAGGTGTGCGGGTGACGTGGACACTGGTTCAGGGGTTGTCACCTGCACTGAAGATGATTTTCTGAGGCGGCGGATGATGTGGCAGTAAAATCCCCTGCAGTCTGTCCACACTACAGCAGCCTCCCTGGATACCATGAGGTGAGCGGCATGGGGTACAATTGGTCTATGTAAATGGCACCTTTTTACCGAGAAGAGCTTGGTGTGTCTGGCATCAGACAAGTGAGCAAAACAGACAGCTCTGCTTAATCTTGCTGGGCCACTATAGCTGGGAGAAAGCAAACTGGGTTTGCCTCGTGTTTGGCCTAAAACAACAGCGGTGGTACAGAAGGCCTAGAGGCTGACCTGGCCTTCATGGACCTAGAACAGCGTTGGGGAGGTGGAGAGCCCAAAATGAAGCCATAATCCATGGAGTAAGGAGCCCCTCTTTCTCTAGCAATGACCCAAGAAAAGACCCAGCTACGATTGTAGCCTCTGTGCTTGGCAGGGGTTTGGGATAGCAAGGCGAGCAGGTGACCACGATTCAGCCCTTCATGCCACCAAGCAGAGTGGGTGAGTACTAAGCCTCTTTTGTTTTAGGAAGAATGTTTAAATTGGTGAAGAATGAACCTCCACCACAATGGTCAATAATTGTTGCCATTGCAAACATTTCAAAATGTTGTATTTAAACCCTGTTAATAATGCTTTGAATCGTTGCAAAGTTTAATTTTTGAGAGTGTGACGGGTCCCACTTCTTTCAGTGTATTTATTCTTCCACCCCACCTTCCTAATTTTCTGTGGGGGGATGGGGCGATAAGGCAGGTGAAGGGTTAAAAAGGGAAAAGGTGGCATGAAAAAAAAAACCCAAAACAATGCGCGCGCAAGAAATCCACTTTCTTTCACTTTTGTCCATGTTCCCTTTGTCCAGGACACATTAGCTGCATCTAGACTGGCATGATTTTCCGGAAATGCTTTTAACGAAAAAGTTTTCCGTTAAAAGCATTTTCGGAACTGAGCATCTAGATTGGCATGGACGCTTTTCCGATCAGGGCGTTTTTGCGCAAAACAAATCTCAGCTGTCTACACTGGCCCTTTTGCGCAAAAGTTTTACACAAAAGGGACTTTTGCCCGAATGGGAGCAGCATCGTATTGCCACTAAAAGCACTGATTTCTTACAGTAGGAAGTCAGTGCTTTTGCGGAAATTCAAGCGGCCAGTGTAGACAGCTGGCAAGTTTTTCCGGAAAAGGGGCTGATTTTCTGGAAAAACTGGCCAGTCTAGACACAGCCATTTTGAAATGAGAAATTAAACACGCGTTTGGCCCAATCACCACCCAATGTCGGCCAAGCATCCCAGACACAAGGTGGGCTGTCAAAAGGGTGCATAACGGCTGCGTGGGGCAAGCAAACATCTTATAACACCCCTCTCATATTGGGACCTACCTACAAAGTACAATTTACTCGCAGATAATAATTTAAGGTTGCGGACACATACTTGTGCAGCTGCCACTGTGACGGTGTCTGTGTCAGAAAGAACCCCCCCTTCTCCCAGCATGGAGTGCAGCGTCTTGGCTGAGCTGGCCTCTTAAAAGGGAACAAAGAGATGCCAACGTGTGTTATTTTTATAACCCCTGATGACTTTTGTGGGCGGGAGGGGGATGGACTAGTTTAGTGCTTGCCGTACTGAGCTGCACGCCCCGGCAGTGTCCAGCTGTGTAGGCGCAGTGACGGCTACGTTCTCAGGGCCCGGTTCAGGAAGCTGCCCAGCAGCGTGCCTCGAGAAAGGCCTCCCAAGGACAGCTGGGACGCCGGAGAAGAGCAGGTGTAGGGGCAGCTTTAGTTGGGGTAATGCAGGCGGGCCCATGCAGAGGTTTTTGGAGCCCTGGAGTAGCGCCCGCCCTCAGGTCCACCAGCTTGAGCAGTGAGGGGCACGCCCATGGTGGAGCAGGGCGGGGCTACCTGGGAGCGTGTGGGACTGGGTGTGGAGGGGTCACAGTGCCCCTCAGGCCATGCCCACATGCAGAGTGTATACCCCTCCCAGCATAACAGAGGGGTGCCAGGCCTCAGTAGCCCAGTGATCCCTCCACCACGTGCCAGGTTACGCTACCACTCCGCAGTGGTGCTGGAGCATTGGTTCCAGAGGGGGGTGCTGGAAGCCAGTGGTTCTCCCTCCCTCCCCCTTAGTCCGTGTCCCTCCCCGGGGATGGAGCCAGGAGCAGGGCTGTGGCTCTGCGTGGATGTGTGGGATCCACGGATGGGGTTAAGGAGGCGAAGGCTGGGATGCTGTGTACAGGGCCAGGAGCAAAGCGCCTGGGCTACGTTGACACTCGCAGCTTCTTGCGCGAGAACTATGCAAATGAGGCTAAGCGTGGAATATCGCCGTGCCTCATTTGCATACCTAATGAGCCGCCATTTTTGCAGAGGAGGCTCTTGCGCCAGAAGGAGCTCGCTACACTGTCCCTTCTTGCGCAAGAAAAACCCTCTTGCGCAACGCCGTTATTCCTGAAAATAATCGGCGTCGCAGCATTGCGCAAGAGGGGTTTTCTGGCACAAGAAGGGGCAGTGTAGACAGCTCCTTCTGGCGCCAGAGCCTCTTCTGCAAAAATGGTGGCTCATTTGGTATGCAAATGAGGAGCGCCGATATTCCACACTTAGCCTCATTTGCATATTGCTTGTGCAAGAAGCCGCGCGTGTCGACATCGCCCTGGTGTGGAGCCAGTGGTGGCTGGGACCCTGGGAGCAGAGCCGCAGGCCCAGGGAGCTGGAGTGCAAGGCCAGGCATGGAGGTAGAAGGCAGCACCGGGGCCCTGGGACCCATGCAAAAATGGGGAGTGTTGCAGCAGCCCCCACATCCTAGTTCCCGCGCCTAAGCACTCAGTTTCGCACGTGTGGGAGGCCTGAGGGAAACCGTCCCCACAGGGCCCTGCCTGCAGCGGGTGCTGCTGTGTGTGTGTGTGGGGGGGAAGCCGCCGACCCTGCCGAAGTTGGGAGGAACGTGTCTTATGCTGAGCCCACCTCAGTGACTTCTTTTCCATAGCACCTGGGTCTATGGCAGCCCGGGGTTAAGGGGACAGTGCAGCGCGTTCCCAGCGTTTGGCATGTGTGGTACAGCCCAGCCACGGCAAGGCACGTTTTAACTCCCAGGTCGTGTGCAGGTAGGAGCTGAAATACCGTGGAGGTTCAGGGCCTTTGTGGCTCACAGAGCTAACGGCTGCATGCACAAGGGAGCAGAGCAGGGCTGGTCTCTCCTCAGTGACTCAAACAAACTCACGCCCGGCCCGAGCAGCGAGCCCACAGCCTAGAGACGTGCTTGGGGTGGCCAGTGCGTGTTTGTACAGCCCCCAGCGTAACAAGGCTTCTGGTCATGGGTGTCGCATCCTCTGCATTACAAAGTGTGCTGTCCTGTGTTAGGGCTCGGCCCAGGGGTGTGCTCACCTGGCTGTCTGCGATGGTGAAGAAGGCTGTCCCTTGTGGTTACAGCCATGGCCGAGGTCTTAGGATGGCTGGGCTCTGCCACAGTTTTCCTGGCTGATCTTGTGCAATTCTCTTAATCAGACACAGCGCCCTAGGGGTTAAGGCAGGGTCGTCAAACAACGGGTTGCGACCCAGGACTGGGGGGTGGAATGTCGGACGCTAGGTCGCGTTGCTGCTGGGGGATCAGGTGAGCAGTGGGGGGGGGGGCTAAGGCATCTCCCTGCCTGTCCTGGCACCGCAGACTGAGCTGGGCCCCAGAGGTGGCCGGCAGTGGGGCCAGCTCGTGTGTGTGTGTGTGTGTGTGTGTGAGAGAGAGAGAGAGAGAGCAAGCGTGCTCGCACATAGGGCTCCATGCTCTGCCCCTACCCTGAGCACTAGCGCCACACTCCCACTGACTGGGAACCTTGTGCTGGCTGTTTGCGGGGCGGCAGGGTTTGCGGTGCCAGGAGAAGCAGGGAGCTGCCTCAGGACCCCCGCTGCACCGCTGACCGGGAGCCATTCAAGGTAAGCCCCTCCTGCCCCAGCCCTGACCCCCCTCCAAGGCCAGAGCCTCCTCCTATAGCCCAAAGCTCCCATCCCCAGCCCCACCTCGGAGCTCGCACTCCAGTCAAATTCTGTTGGGTTGCAGCATCAACCATTTTCTTCAACTGGGTCATGAAGAAAAAAGTTTGAACCCCCCTGGTTTAGGTTACGTGACAAATCTTGTAACCTCAATACTTGTAGCAAACAAGATTTAATGTCGGTTGTTTTTACCGACTTAGCGTTTTGGCCGCTTCCAGACAGACGTGAGATGGAACGTGGAAGAAAGGTGGCCAGCCCTGGTACCATGGGTGGTGGGTGAACTGGCTTGGGAACTCTTTTCCCAAGGAGAGGGGGTTATAGTTGGCCAACTCTATTAGCACAGGCAAGGAAGAAGGGCCCTTGACGGCACAGAGGATGGCGCCGGATGACCATTAGTGAGGGAGCACGTTTAAAATGGAGCCAAAAGGGACGTGCTCGGGCGACCGACAACGGTCAGTTAACACCAGACGTTGTGTCCCCGTGTGACGTAGTGGGGGTACTTGCTGGGATGTGGTGACCTCTGCTGTCTGGAGCAAGACCCAGCAGGGAAAACCTCACTAGGCCAAGGTAATGCCAAACTTGTTGAACCAGTGGCCAGACACCCCCCATGGAGAGGAACAAAGGAAGGTGGATGCTCGGGCGACCGACAACGGTCAGTTAACACCAGACGTTGTGTCCCCGTGTGACGTAGTGGGGGTACTTGCTGGGATGTGGTGACCTCTGCTGTCTGGAGCAAGACCCAGCAGGGAAAACCTCACTAGGCCAAGGTAATGCCAAACTTGTTGAACCAGTGGCCAGACACCCCCCATGGAGAGGAACAAAGGAAGGTGGATGCTGCCCTGGCTGGGGGGCAGGGCTGGAAGTGAGTGAGTTGGTTGCTGGCTGTCTGTAAGGATGGAGGAGACAGCCTAGGGAGAGGAGCTGGAGTTTAGGGGCCCAGTCTCCCCCCAACTCAAGGGGGCCTGAGGCATCCTAGCCCAGCTCTGTGACCAGATTACATCTGTGCTATGCTGTATCCTGGAGAGGCAATAAACTTCCTCTATTCCACCCTCCCCATGGGGGGGCGGGGTCTCAGCAGAGTGGGCGGAGCTGTAGGTGGGGGTGGGGGGTCTGCCTCATCGAACTCCCCAGCATCATCAACTGCCCATGGCAGGAACCGTTCAGAAAACCCACCTGGGCAATGCTGGGGGCAGCTCAGTGGATGGGGCGGTAAAACCAACATGTTGAGCCGTAGGACGTGGAGGGGTGCGGTGGGAAATGGTATTGCCCTTGCACCAATGGCTGTATCGGTCCATGGGGCGTTCATGTGTTTCCACCATTTCTGCCTGTTGCTGCGTCGCAGCGCCGTCAAACCCAGGGCTACGTCTAGATCGCTTCCCTTTTTCGTAAAAGGGATGCAAATTAGACGTATCGCAATTGCTAATGAAGCGGGGATTTAAATCTCCCCCGCTTCATTAGCATAAAAATGGCTGCCGGTTTTTTTCGGCACGGAGCTTTGCCGGAAAAAAGCGCCAGTCTGGACGCGGATCGTTCGGAAAATAAAGCCTTTTCCGAAAGATCCCTTATCCCTCTTAAAATATTATTTTACCCTTGTTATTACCTTAGTACCCAGAATGTGCTGCTCTCCTCAGCCAACGGTCTGTATGTACCCAGAAAGCCACAGGCTGATTCTTGCATAGAATTGGTAACATAAGAACGGCCAGACTAAAGGCCCAGCGTCCTGTCTGCCCACAGTGGCCAGTGCCACATGCCCCTGAGGGATGGAACAGAACAGGGAATCATCAAGTGATTCATCCCCTAGCGCCCATTCCCAGCCTCAGGCCATCCCGCCCCACAGCCATTGAGGGACCTGTCCTCCATCAATCTACCTCGCTCTTTTTGCACCCTCTTTGTAACACTTTTCGGTCTAGGGCCATCGATACGGCCTCATCGGTGTCCAGCTTCGGAGCCATTTAACCCATCTGCCTCCCCTGCACCTTGACTCGTCCACGTAGCCGAGAGCCATATCCGGACAGCTTTTATCAGCCGCTTCGGGCGAGATGGCCGTATTGGCCACAGCTGCCAGGACACTCCCGCACGCTCCTCGGCACGTCTGCGCTTCCAAAAACTCCATCTTGTCAGCCTCTGACCACCTGGTTTGTTTTCAGATTGAACAGTTGAGTCATAATATGTTTGTTTATTTCAACAACTGTATTCATTGCATAGGAAATGAGCCAATATGTCTGTGATGGGCAGAGTGAAATCTGCCATGTTTACAGTTGCTTTTTGCCATCTCACCACCAAATTTTACAATATAATCACAATCTTATTTTTGGACTTCTGGCCCCTGTCATTGACTTAATCTTCTTACGTGTTCCCATTATTCCGACTCTTTCGTGGTTGCATGTATTAATTTTAATCTTTTGAGCTCCATATTAGCTACTGCCTGCGACTAATTTGTTGCACAGTGTTTTTCTTTGTTTTGACCTGCAAGGCATTTTTATCATGGCACAGAACTCTACTGGCAGATTGCATCTAATCTCTGCACTCCCTCCCTCCCGCCCCACACTATGCGTTGCATAGTTCAACAAACGCAGCTTTACCATGTTAGATGAAATCCACGTGGCCTATGAAGGAGGTGGGGGATGGGGTGGCGGGGGGAACCTCACTGCATGTTTAGCTACAGCGACTACACAAGCGTAACTGAAGGAGGTACGTTGAAACACAGTGGGTTGAGGTGCTACAGTCAATCTTTTATTTATTAAACATATCCAGCGCTAGCCTTGATAAACAAAGCATAATTATACTCATTTCACATGCAGTCTGAGACAGCAGCGCCTTTCTGAGGCAGCGCGGGCTCCTCTGCTGAAACTCAAAGGAGGGTTATTTTTGGGGGGCGGGGAAAAAGGGAATGGTTGTCACCTTGCCACGCGCTCCAGCATTCCGCCTCCGTCCAGTCACTTGGCCGACGACCGCCCCATCGGAACGTCTCAGGCCTCTACAGCCTTGAGCTGAGCTAATATCAGGCGCTAGGAAAGCCTCTGCAGCGCGTGTGAAATGAAAGCAGTTGGTGCCGAGGCTGGGTTTTACACGGGGCCGCTTTTTGCATGGTCGGTCCATGGACCTTTTCTGCTTTGGTAGCGCATGCTTTAATCCCATGCGGGTGTATTTGTTTTATTTATTAGCTCCCCCCCTCCTCCAGCCAAACAAAAAACAACCCAACGTGGCTCACGCAAGCCCAGAAAAGTCATTTTGTTTAAAGAGACACAACACTCGTTGCTTCATCCAGGCCTTTTTTTGTAATGCTCCGGGACACATTTTTTCTTTTACTAGGAATCTCTGCTGTTCTGGTGCCCAGGGAGGCAGAAAAGCAATGTTTCTGGGCAGGAGGACAAATGCAGGATACCGGCGAGGAAGGCAAGGCAACTGTTAGCTGCTGAAATGTAGAACAAATTGGCTGACGAGCTGCTGAGACTTGTCAGACAAATGGTGGATTCCATGCCACGTGCATTTACTGTGCCAAACACGGCTCCGGCGAGATGGGGGGGGGGGGGGGGGCCTTTGGGCTGGGTCTACACTTCAAACGTTTTCCGGCATAGCTCCGTTGGGCGGGGTTTGGTGTTCTCCCCCTTCCTGCCTCCTCTGCCCCATGGACAGAGTGAGCTGTGCTGTGTCTCCAGGCAAACAGAGGCCCTTAGCTCGAACAGCGTGTTCTGTGTGGGGAACTGGGTTAAGCTAGACGGCCCACAGCACGCCCCTTAGAAGTGGGGGTGCGCACATGCATGTGCGTGGGGCTTGCCAGTTTAGCAACCCCGTTCAGGCTTCTAAACCCTGAAGCTGCAGGGGTTTGAGGTCTAGTCCAGCATGCCCCTGTTTAGAACCCGGCCACTTCTGCCGCACCGGGGAGAGGGTGGGGGGGGCTGAGGGACCCACCCCTATTCCGCACTGCTAGTGTCTCTGTGCCTGGGTGTTTGCAGTGAGCTACAGGAGGTGGGTGTTTCCCCCCCCCCCCCCCCTTTGCATAATTAACAGGAACAAGGCAAATTGGATACACACGGCCACCTTTGCCCGATTCCGCTGCCACAGTGGCCTGGGTGACCACAGCAGTTCGGAGCAGTAACCGCAGCTAGCACGGTGCTCAGTTCCTCTGCGTGGGCCGTGCTCCTGCGCCCCACAGAGTAAATCACCAGTGAGTAGAAGCCAGGCTGGTTTCTCCACTGCAGTGGTAGGAACAGGGCCAGCTGGGTCCCGTGGCAGGGCGGGGGTAGGTGCTGGCTTGACATGTTCTTCAGAGGCCAACCCAGCCCAAGTCCTGCTGCCATGGCTGCTGCCAACAAGCTTACGGCGCTTTGCCCTCGTGGCTGGAGGAACAGCCCCTGCCGTTGTTTGAACAAGGCCCACGGCAGCTCAGCCCCGCAACACTGGAATATGGGAATTCCACCCGTCACGTTCCGGGAGCCTGGCTCTGTGGCATTCAGAAAGAAAGCCAATGAGTCCGGGTCTACACAGTCACTCCCTGTACTTCGAAAGAACAAGCAGCGTGTCCGCGTGCCCCAGCCTATTACTTCGAAAGAACGGGCTGGTTATGGCAATATCTTGACTCCTGCTTGCCTCAAGGAATAATGATAGTTCGACATGGGGACGTGTGGACGCTCTGCTGCTGCTATTTCGAAACGACGATCCCCCAGAGTCATTTAAGTAATTACTCCGCAGTGCTTCCTGGGGCGCTAAGTCAAGGGCGGACGTCCATGGTGACGGTATCTGCCTCGGCCAGAGTTTGAGACTTCCCTGGAGCGGGGACATGCTATTTTTGAAGTAGCTATTTCAGGAGTTAGTATTCCCAAGTAAGTCATTTCACAATAACGTCTTGACGTGCCCTCAGAGGTGTTACCCAGTGCCTAACAGGTTCCCTCCATTACCCACACGAATGGCCTGGAGTGCTCTGGCCGTGCCTAGTGCCTGTCCCATGGTGAGAGGGGTGTGTGTCTGCACTGTCGAGCTAAGGCCAGGCAGTTGCGGCTTGTGCCTCTTAGAACACGCGCTCCAGGGTCAGTCCCTGCCGCAGCCCTAGGTGGGCATGACACGGGGACTAGGGGATTGCCAGCGTGGGCCCTGGCTGTACCAGGCCCTCTCTGCTGAGGCCAGATACAATCGCTCCTCTGTGGCTGAGTTCCCACTGGCTCAAGTACCCTACATTTCTATGCAATGCCACCAAGAGGCCGATGCCATAGAGCAGTTCCCTGGCCAAGCCCCAGGCTCAGGCTGTTGGGGGGGCGGAGGGGGGGGGCCTTGCCCCGCCCAGCCTGAGGCTCCGTCGCCATGGAGCTTTTCCACATTGGATCATTTATTGGCGCAGACACCGAGTGACTCACCAACCTCTCAGGCGAGCCTGACCCCCTGGGCTACGGGGCCAGTCTCATGGGTGTGACTGTCCTGCAGGCTTAAGGCTGTAGGGGTGGGGGTGAGTCTCATGGGCCGGATCTGGCTCATGGGGGGAAGAAGCGGCTCCGCATGCTGCTGTTTTCCTCCCCTGGCTGGGGAAACAGCAGCGTAGGAAACTGCTCACCTAGAGGCTTTCCCTGCTGCTCCCGTTGGCTGGACTCATAGCCAATGGGAGCAGTGGGGGGCGGTGCTTGGGAGCAGCAGGGGCATGCAACCAGGTAAGCGCCCTCCCCATCACCTTCACTCCCTGACTCTGCATCCGCCTCCTGGCAAGAACTTGCACACACACCCTGCCCCTGCACCCTCTCTCCGACCCACCACCCCCTTAGCTCTCCTGCACTCTCCTTCCCTCCCTCCCAGACCCCCCAGTTGCGGCATGGTGGTCTGCAGAAAGGTCTGCGTTGTGGGCCCCGAGCCAAAAAGTTTGAGAACCACGGGGTTAGAGGAAGGCTGAAATCACCCCTCCGACATCCTGAGCCATTGGCTACATCCTAGGGCACCTCCTCTGTGTGCGGGTGCGATCGGAGGGGGAGCTAGCTTCTGTGACTCCCTACCAAGGCAATGGGAAAATGCACAGCATGAAACCAAGGCCCAGGTGAATTTATTAGGGGCTCAGCCACGAGCGCCAGCTCTTCACCTGTCTCATAAGCCAGTTTTGATCCCCACCTGTAGATTGGAGCTTGTCAAAACTCAGTGCCCCAGCCGTGGATGGCAAGGCCCGTTCCGTCCAGTTCAGAGTCTACGCCTCCTTTTTGACACTGGCCCCTTAAGTATTCACAGAGGCTGAATGCCTGTTTTTAATGGCTGGGACCAGAGGATTTCATGGACCAAAGCCAGCCAAGGGGCACGGTGCCACAACAAGGTATGCAGAGTAATAATGCAAGTGACAAGCTGGGTGAGTCCCCCCCACCAACAATGGATCACAAAGTGTTGTGCCCAGGTACAAGCAGAGTAACTGCCAGAAACTCCTAGGCTATATCTACACTCGCCGCTTCTTGCGCGAATAATATGCAAATGAGGCTAAGCGTGGAATATCGCCAAGCCTCATTTGCATACCTAATGAGCCACCATTTTTTTTCAGAAGAGGCTCTTGCGCAAGAAAAACCCTCTTGAGCAATGCCATTACCCCTATTACTTTTCAGGAAGGACGGCATTGCGCAAGAGGGGTTTTCTTGTGCAAGAAGGGGCAGTGTAGATGCTCCTTCTTGCGCAAGAGCCTCTTCTGAAAAAATGGTGGCTCATTCGATATTCCACCCTTCGCCTCATTTGCATATTACTTGCGCAAGAAGCCGCGAGTGTAGACATAGCTCTAGTGTCAGTTACAAAAGTATTTAGGCTCAACTTCCACTGAAACCAATGGGACCTGGGCATCTAAATACCTTTGTGAATTTCCTTCCTGGTTATCTGGGGAAGATACAGTTTGGCCCTTGCCTGCAGCGGTATCCTTTTCAATGCCTTCCCATCTTGATCTTCGTAAGGGAAGCAGGAAGAAACCTACTTAAATAAACCGTAGAAACACCTGCACAGAAACAACAAATCTCCTTTATTCCGGAAGGGCGGGGAAAGGGCTCTGACATCTTAGCTTGTCATTTTTATCTAAGGCAGACATAAAACGACTCAATAGTTTATTCTCAGGACATCGGAATAGTCATTTATTGAAAAGCCACAGTTCCCACATTTTACAACTGTTGGCTTGTATAAGGCAAAAGCAAAATGGAACCACTATTTTACACAGCTTCTGGAGGGGGGAACTCAAGGACATGCAGTTACTGGTCAAAATGCAATGTACATGACACATATAAAAACATAGTGAAACGAAGGAATTTAAGTTATGGTAACAATCTACTGGACTAAATGGTCCTATGTTGTTATAA